CGGGGCCCCCCCCCCTTCTGGAGTGCTGGGGGGGCCCCGCCACTTTGTATCGGGGCGGGACACGAGGGTGGGGAAATGCAAAGCATGGAGCACGAGCGTGTACAGCTGTTCCCTAGGCACGGTCCGGAAACAGACCGGCTGCAGATTTTGCAGCCGGCTGGGGGTCCAAGGGTGGGGAGGCCGGGGGGGCCCACGGAACAAGGGCCCAATAATAAGGGACGGAGGCTTTGCAGGAAGGGAGGGGCGGGGCGTTCCCTCTCGCAGGGCTCTCTGTAGGAGATCGCGAGCGGGCTGCGACAAGGCCGCCTTCACCTCCTGGAGTAGGCGCAGGGGGGTTCGAGGGGTGGAGAGCCCCATGCGTTGAGCGAGCGCTCGGGGATCCACCCAGTCCCCCCTGTGGTAGTCCAGGAGGTCCCCGACCATGGTGGTTTCAAGGCAGCCCAAAAGGGAAAAACTCCTGTTAGAAAAGCAGAGAACTGCAGCACAATTAGGTGCAGCTGGGAGGAAGCTGGCTCAGGCAAATTGGGGCCAGCTGACTTCTCTGCTGTCTCTCTGAGGGCCTTTAAAAGCCTCAGCAGTTGGAGGCTGAGGAGAGGAGTGAGAGGATGAAAGGAAGGTGGTGGAGAGGCAGAGAGGAAGAAAGGGAGAGAACAAGTTGGACCAGCATTAGGTAAAGGCAGCAAGGGAGGGAGCCTGTGGGCCCCTGGCTCGGGTTCCCTACCACAGAGACCCGATGCAAAACCCCAGTAGTGGCTTGGAGAAGAGGGGCCCTTGCCACACTATGACTCTGAGTTTTGTTTGATGGTGCATTCACCAGGCTATCCCTCATCTCAAAACAGTTCTAAAGGACCACTGCTCTCCTGATACATTATTAACTCTTTTAGCTAAAGAGTTAAGCACATTTAAAAAACAACCTTCTCATTTAACACATTCTAAAAGTAGCTTAAGCATCCTTCAGAACTCTGAGAAGGGTTGAGTAATCTCCCATGTACTTACTACAGAAATTAGTGATTCCTGCCGTCCTGTATTCCTGTAGACGCTTTATTTCCCTTCGCAGTTCAAATTCCACTGGTTTTTCCCCCAACAGTAAGGAGCAGAGAAATTAAAAAAACAAAGGTGGGTAAATGGTTCTGTTAACGAACACTGTGGCACTAGGACTACTGTCATTCCTTACTCATCAGCCATTCAATTACTAAAGGTCTGTATTGGCTGTGATCTTGAGTAAGCAGAACCTCCAAATTACTGCATGCAGTGCGAAATGCTCTGATCAAAACTCAGATTTATTCTGGAAGATCACTTCTAAAATTATTTGTGCAGGGAAGCTATTTTAGATTCAGGCTCAAGAAATTCCTCCTATCAATGAGCCAAATGATGCTACTATGTGGGACTTTTATAAGACACTTTACAAACATTAACAACTCACAGTTTATAGATAGAGAAATTGCATCAAGATTATATGGCACATTCTTGTTTTCACTGATGTCAACAAGAGCAGGCAGGACTGAGTCCTAAGTTACTCTGGTCAAAAAGGGACTCTACATACTAAACCTATGTCTACACTACTGCAAAAATTAAATCTAACACATGCAATGTAGTTGGAGTCTACATATCTTAGGTTGAGTTACTGCAGAGTTTACTCTGTGGGTGGTTAATGGGAGAAACTCATCCATTGACTTACCTAATTCTTCTCGTTGGGAGTAGAGTACTGAGATCAACAGCAGAGCACTCTGTGGTCAATTTGGCAGGTCTTCACTAGACGTGCTAAATCAACCACCAGTGGAGTGATCTCAGAGCATCCCCCCTTGTGTGTGTATATAGCCTCAGATTGGAGCTTGACTCACTCTAGGTCTTCAAATGACTCCTCTGTACAAGTTAGGGGCCTAATGTTTTGAAAGCTGTCCTGTGTGTGTTTGTTCTTGTTTTAAAGTAGTTAGTTATCTGCCTTTCATACCTCTTACATAATCCTACATTGTTTCTGATCCATTATTTTAATCTCTGGCTTGTATCCCCTTTATCTCTGATCACCTCAATTGTGCAATTAGTTTGGGGATACTCACTAACTCAAGATTTAATTATACAGCTTCCTGGTACCAGTTTGTTTACAATAAGCAAAAAGTTTGTTTCACTTAAATTAGGCCCCTGAGCAATACAAAGCTCTTGTGCTGAAGGAGAGTCAGGCCTCCTTATGGCCAATGGGTCTAGGTGTAGGAGTTGGTACCATCCAACAGGAGTGAAGATTTGCAGGGTCAGACCCTCGCTCAATATTGGTCTGTGTCATGAAATGCAGTCATCTCTGGCATGGAACGAGATGGCTGCTCACATGTTGCTTTGTATTTTCTAATGAAGAGTAATTTTCCCCCAATAAAGTTACAGAATGTAGGTAAGAACGATGCAATGACCCCACTGGACGTTGACTAGGACAACAGGACATGCTGAGATGCACACTATAATTACTCAAAGAATTTGGACAATTAGGTGCTGGAACGGCTTGAAACCATTGAAGGTGAGGCACTTAATGGAGGCTGTACTGTATAATTACGTACTGAGACAGCACACGTGTATCTTATAGAATATACAATTAACTGCTGACTTAACCCCAATATAGACTTAGGTTAGAGTATTTTACTCTTTCTATAGCATGGCAGTGTATGAAGAATGAAAAGAAGAGACTAGATAGCAAAGGATGATAGTATTTCGTTGTCTGGGAGGGAGGGGAAGGAGGAAAACAACTGCCTGTATAATTCCGATTTAGAAAAGGCCAATGACGACAACTAATAAGTAACCTGTCACCCACTTGAATGCTTACTGCCACCAAACAGTTTAAACATGAACAAGTCAATAAAACACTTACATGCATGGCTTTCAATAAACTTATCATGCTCAATTGGGCCTAAAATTCTTGCAAACCGTCGCATTGTTTCATAAAGATCTTGGACCTCCTTTGGGTATCGTCTCTCCAGAACTGCAAAAAAACAAAAACCCCAGTGAGCAATATCTTTATGCTGGGCAGGAGAACTAGAATTTGGGGTGCAGGAGGGGATGTGCGTAAGAGGGAATGTGGGGTGCATCTGGGAGGGAGTTTTGGTATGGGAGGGGTCTTGGGGGTTGGGGTGTAGGAGGAGTCTTGTAGTGAGGGACATATCCCTCGGCTCCTAGTCAGAGGCACGGTTAGGCGCCTCTGCCTGCAGGTGCTGCCCCTGCAGTTCCCATTGGCCACAGTTTCCAGCCAATTA